AAGGGTCCTTAATTGAATGAGCAAAAATCGTGGAACAAGACTCAAAACATTAAAATATCTGCTCCAATAGAAACTAGTGAAAATCCCAAGTCTATGGCCCTTAGTCATCCCTTGAACGTGAAGCAAAATCCCTCATTGCTCAAAAAAAAAAATAAAAAAAAAATAGAAGCTCAGAAGGTGAACAGTAACCCCAGGAAGGTACTCACTCCCTAGGGGAAAAAAAATCAACTGCAGAAGATCAAAATAGAAGTACTTTCCCAAGAATAAAACTCAGAAGGTAAAATAGGGTAGAACAGAAAAATTAATGGAAACAAAAATTACAGGGAGGAAGTGAGAAGTTAGCACTTTGAGAATTATTATTAACGTCATACAATAAAATATGTATGAATGCTTGGCTAGGAAACCCGTTTGCTTTGTGGACTTTCACTCAAATCACAATAAACAGAAAAATACATGAACACTTAAAAATTAAATGTGCTCATCATTTTCCAGATGATTTCAAAAAAAAAAAAAAAAAAAAAGAAAAGAAATCCTAACTCTGGTCCCTGTGAATACAGTCTGGCCTGAAAATAGGCTCAGTTAAATGACAATGGAGTTAAGTAGATTCAAATCCCATCTAAGTGGTTTCCTACAGAGAGGAAAGAGACCCACAGAGACAAACAGAGGGGAAAGGGCCATATGATGGCAGAACTGAGCTGCAGGTTCAAGTCAGAAGCTACAAGAGACAAGAAGCCTCTTCCTTGAGGACCTTTGGCAAGAACATGGGTCTGCTGGCATCTTTACTTTGATAATTAGCTTCCAAAATTATGAGAAAAGAGGTTTTGTTTTTATAAGCCACCACCTCTGTGGTATGTTACAGCAGACCTAGGGAACTCTGGAGACATTTTTTTATCATCACAAATGGATGTATGTATGGGAGGGGAGACACTAATGGCACTTAGTAGGTGGAGGTCAAGGATGTTTCTAAACATCCTTCAATGCATAGGAAAGCACCTCAGTAAAAAGGATTGTCCAGTCCAATCACAAGGATTGTCCACCCTATATGCATAGGGTCAGAGCTAAGAAACTGTCTTAGAGTACAGTCAGTTTTCCTCTCCACGGCCTAAAAAGGTCCACACATTCTATTTCTTCCAGCCCATCAGGTCTTACTCTGCCTCTCAGCTCAAGTCACATAGAATTCTGATTCCTCAAATGTACCAAGCTTATATTTATGCCTACCCTTGTCACTCATTCTTTGAGTCTCCTGTGTCTCTCCACATTCATAATTCAGCTCAAAAGTCACCTCCAGAAGTGGCTTCTTCTGATTGTTAAGTCGAACATTGCTTCCCTACTGCCCACCTGCCTGACTACATAATCTCTACAGTACTTGCAACTATTTTATTGTTAACTTATGTCTTACCGTATTCCTTCTCCCTACTAGAAGGTAAGCTCCATAAGGATAGAGTCTTGTCCAGCTTTTTAAATGATGAATAAACATTAGTCAAGAGGAGTGCTTGTTTGTCAGTAAGAGCTCAGTGAATGAGTGGATGAACCTTGACTAGGACAATCATTTCTGTTTGTCATTAATATATGTACTTTAAAAAAAAATAACTTAACAACCCCTCAACCAAGCCAAGAGGTTGGAAGCTTGAATCCACCCAGAGGTACCTTGGAAGGCAGGACTGAAAAGAAAAAAAAAAAGCTCCCCAAATGTCATAGTATTGAAAACTCCATGGAGCAAGCAGTCTACTCTGCATATATGATGCTACCATGAATTAGAATCAGTTCAATGACAACTAGCAACACAAGAGTGTGAGTTCCTTAAGAATGAACACCACATTGGAACAGATGAGGAAAAGAACGGCTTAAAATGAATATAAGATTAAGCATTGTTTACATGACAACAGGCCAGAATAAGAGGTACATAGCGAAGTGGACCAAGGTGGGTGGGAGGGGAGAAATTGTGCAACAATGAAGGAATTCTTTAAAGAGAAAAGCAAACTGGGGTGGGGGTAGGGAGGAAAATGTGCAACAATGATTGAATGAAAATCCAAGTTTTCTGTAAACTTTCCTTAAAATCACAATGAAAATATGAAAATAATAGATGATAGATAGATAGATAGATGATATATAGATGATAGATAGATAGATAGATAGATAAACAGACAGAAAGAAAATAACCAAATAAGTCTTCTTCCTGTTCAGATCTCACATTGGCACCATGCTGGGCCCACTAACTGCTTATTGATCCGACTCTCTTCTGTGACATGATATGACTTTGCATCTACTTTCTGCCCTGTGGGATTTGACACCAATATCTCATCTATCCAGGGAGTTCCCTGTACTCTCCACTGAAGCTCTGTCATTGTGATCCAGAGTTCTCCAAAGAAGCTAATAATGTTCAATGAAGCCTGCTGGAGAGGAAGCATTCCCACAGATCTCAATAGTGTGCAAATTCTTCGCTGGCCTTGGAGGAACATTGGCAAATAATATCACAGAATGCTGTAACAGCCCCCCAAAAGCATGACCTTAATTGGGAAAAGCTGTTTTATTTGAACCAATTAGAGGAAGCCATTCAGAATCTTGGTTTATAGTCCAATAGGCAAAAATAAGTCAAAGTATCTATTTATGAGAAAGACTGGCTACCCAGAGAAAATTTAATTTCCCTCCTTAACATAAAGTATACTAAGCATATGTTTGTTTGGTTTTTTTCTTTTTATTCCCTCATAAAATACTACTTTAAAGATATCAGATAACAAAAATAATACGTCTTTGATAGGAAGTAGAGGAGATAGATCATTAGATGTAGAGATCTGAATATATTTCTGGAAGATGGAAAGAGAATAAAATAGTAGATAAAATAAAAGCAGAAAGCCACGGGGGCTTAAAGACCTCTATGTGGCGTAAACCAGACAGACTGCAGGTGTGCGAAGGGGGCACATAAAGATGCTAATTAATTTATAGTCTATCTGTAGACACTTACTCCTGCCTGATCTAGTTAACCTACCTTACTTCTCTCTCCCATCCAGAGGGAGTGAGACACGTTATCCCTAGGCCAGAACAAACACACAAACATTCTTCTTTAAAGAAACTGAATTCATTACCAGGACCCCAGAGTAAGTGCTGGAACTCTAAATAAAATCTCCTTAAATCTATCATTTGGGTGTCTTAAAGGCCAATTCCCTGCCTTCTTTACTGTAACTAAGTCAGTCTGTGAAAAAATCCCTCCTGTTCACTCACAGATAGCAAACGTCTCATCAAAAGCTACTTCACAAGATACATACAGGCAGAGGAAAAATCCAATTCTGTGAGCTGTTATTAACAGAATTATATTAAGAAATAAACGGGTAAAAATAGTGCCATAGAAAAGAAGCAGCCCAATAAAGAGAAACCTCATCCTGAGGTCAGTGGAGGGAGTCAGACATAAGTCAAAGAAGGGAAGGAATTTAAAGGGGTGGGACTCCTTTAATTAATATACTCAGAGACACTAAAAATATATCACAGCCATTTCAATGCTGAGTAACTGATTGCCTTAGAGTCAGAGAACAAGACCAACTCAGAGCGTAAGAAAGAACTTAAGGAAATAAATAAGTGATTTCAAACTTAAAACTTGAAAGAGTAGCTAGATGACAAGACTAAGGAAAGTTCCAGAAGAAGCATGAAAGACAAGAAAAGGGAACGTTTACAATAAAAAAAAGAAAGAAATCAGGACTGATGTGAAATTCAATATTCAACCAATAAAAGTCACAGACAGAGAAAACAGAAAGAGGAAGGAAAGAAAAAAGGTTTTGTTGGATTTTTTTTTCTCCCAAAATGAAGAGGATTTGACATGAATCTCTAAGAGCAAGTTTTGACAGAATAACTATTTTATGAAGTAAATCTCACACTCAGATATATTGGCCTGGAATTTCAGAGCACCAAAGATAAAGGGAGGGAGTTCTGCTTGGCTTAGTGGTAAGGATTTGTGCTGCCAACACAAAGAAATGGGCGGCTGCTCCTTGGGCCCACTGGAGGGTCAGCTATGGTTTGGTTCTGACTGTTCACAACAACAACAACAAAGAAAAAGGTGGCCTCGCTCTGGTGGCCTAGTGGTAAGAAGCTACCTGCAATCCCAAAGGCACAGGATTCAAATCCACCAGCTGCTCCAAAGGTGAAGGATGGGCGATCTCCTCCCCATTCTGTAATTAACTGTCCCTGAAAGCCCACTGGAAGGTCAGCTGGGGGTCGATTCTGACTTGATAACACACACCACCACCACCATAAAAACTTCCATGGAGAAAATAAGAGGCACATATAAAGAAATGAAATTTAGACAAGCAGACTTAACAGAGTTAAGTCTGATTTAACAGGTATGTTATTTTGGCCAAGCTTTTCTGTACCTCAATTTTCTTGTAAAGTAGCAGATTATGACAGTATGGATATGATAATCCATTTATCATTATCAGGGCTCAGAAAAGAGTCTGAAGCATTAAAGCTACAGATTTCCTTATTATTCAATTTATTCAAAAGAAAAAATCAAAACATTAACAATATTTTTAAAAAAAATTTGTCATAGAATTCATGGTTTCTTCTCCAACATACATTCCACTCTCCCCGTTGTGAGATAGGTATCTATGTGTGTGACTTGAGAGTGAGAGTGAAATATAATGTCAGCCTTTGGTTTATGCAAATAATCCCAACCCCATCAAACTACGATTTCATCCTGGTTTGTCCAAGTTAATCCATTAAAAGTGGGCCTCTCTTTTTTCTCCTAGCCCCTAGAAGATTCATCACTCTACAACCATAAGTGAGGCCTGCCTAAGACTGAGGCCATCACAGTACAGGACAAAGCAAAGAGCATCATCAAGAAATTAAGTTGTAGCCATGATCAAACTACGCCTGAAACCCATATATTGCCAGAAATTTTAATTGTGGGGATTACCAAATGATTGTTTAAATGCATTTGAGTTGAGTTTTCTGTCTGTGATCTATTCCATACACCAGAGCCTCCTAGCCCAGCCCAACTTTGCACTAAGTGTTACCTGGATGATGTAAGACAGCGACAAGCCTTTGGAAGAAGCACTGATTGAGGAGAAACTGAGGGTCACCAGCAAGGCCACGATCAAAGTAACAATGTTCATGAGGACATCCATTCTCAGAGCAAACCATCTGAGAGCACAATTAAAATAGAGGAGGTGACTGGAATTTTCATCATTAAGCATTTTAAACCTAAAATTGAAAAAAAAAATCAGGTAAAATAGGAGATTAGGTATGCTTCCATGGGTTTAGGTTTAACACTAGTGTAGGAATAAGGCTAGAGAAACTTTTAACCAAGGGGAGAGACACTCAGATATAATAAACCCCACAAAAGTAAACATATGATCATGTCCTTTTGACTCTGCGATATATTCAATTTTCATATATGTTAAGAAAATTCGTGTAGCAGTAGAGTATGGTATTACGTGGACTTTTCTTTTCTGAAAGTGCAACTGAACCCTATAATTGAGAACAAAAGGTACCTCGGATTCTGACTTTAATGGATCCCATCTTAAGAGTCCTCCACTGCCAAACACTTTGCAGAACTTCCAATGAGAAGGGCTTGGGAGGAGGTCACAGTTAAGAAAAGTCATTGTGATGGCAAAGGAGGGTGAAGAAGGGGCCTAACTTGTCCCTCACCCCATTCAGAAAGAGGAGTGTCGATGAAGTTGCTGATAGTGTGTAAGGATCTCTTCAAAGAGAAGAAACTGACATATTATCTCCTATCATATGTCCACTGAGCCAGACAGATTAGTGGAATGAGAAAGAACAGAGAGGAGGGTGACAGGGAATGATGGAGCCAGTGAGAGGGACAAGATCTACCGCCCGGAGTCCCTTGTTCCCCGGATGTATGGGAGTTCCTGGGTTGTACGAAGGATTAACACACTTGGATGCTGGTGGAAAGGCTGGTTGTTTGAGTCACTTAGAGGAACTTCAGAAAACAAGTCTGGCAATCTACTGCCCAAAAACATCTCCTGAAAACTCTATGGACAACAGTTCTGTTCTGACACACGTGTGATTGCCGTGAATTGGAACTGAATCAAGAGCACCTCATTTGAATTAGGAAAAGCAGGTCTCACCAGTTCCTGTCGTTTCTCAAGTTGAGAGGGTTTAACGAAGGCAATGTGTAAGCATTCAGACTCGATGTAGAAATCCCAGGCAGAAGAAATCTGCTATATTGGAGGAATGCAGCATCATGGATGCTGCCAGACAGAGCCTAGCTGGAAGTCCCTTGGGATCTTATCAGCAAGAAAGTATTTAGCAGAGTTTCTAGGGATTTATTCCCATTGGACATTCACCCTAACACACCACATCTGCGCAGCGAGCTGGAGTAGCAGAAATGAGAGAATGGTCTGGATGGGGCATTTGCCTGAAAATATGTGTTGCCCCTGGCCTCCTCCTACACCAGAATCAAGGGATCAGGTTCATGAAAAGGAGATACTTAAAAGAATAAGTCAGATGCCCCTTTTAATTCCTACGTATGCACACCTACACAACCTTACCACTATAAACTTCTGGACAAAAAGAGAAAGCTTTGGCTTTGATGATCAACCCAACTAGTTAGCACTGAATTGACTCTGACCATGGTAACTCCAAGTACCTTAGGGAGGAATTCCTACATGATAGGCATGTTGTGGCATTTGGAAGAGTATTTTGACCAAACCCTGGAGAAAACAAATTTAAGTGGAAACAGAAGGAATTTCAAGGCTGGTGCTTTTTAAATGTAGATCGCCAAGCCTTTCTTCCAAGGCAGCTAGCTCTAAGTGGGTTAGAACTGCCAGCCTTTAGACTAATAGGCAAGTACTTAACCATTTTTACCATTCAAGGACTTTTAACTGGTCGCCATCAGGACAATTCTAACTCATGACAACCCCAAGTGTTACAGAGTAGAACTATGTTCCATAGGATCTTCATAACTGTAGAACAGAAGGATCCCCATGACTATACATTGGATATACCATGGACTGCCAGGAGAACAAACAGGTTTTGTCCTGGAGAAGATGAAACCAGGCTGCTCCTTAAAGGCAAAGATTCTGAAGCTTCATCTGACATGCTTTGGGCATATTGCAAGGAGGAACCAGTCCTTGGAAAGGGAGGTCATGCTTGGGAGGGTGGAGGGACAGCACAAGAGAGGAAGACCCTCGATGAGATGGATTGACTCAGTGACTGGGGTAATGGAGATAGTAGTGGCAGAGACAATGAAGTTGGCTCAGGATAGAACAGGGTTCAGAGATGTTGCACATTGGGTCGCTATGAGTTGCAAGTGACTCGAGGGCACATAATAACAACAGATTGAACATTGTTTTTTTATGTTTATCTTCATGAAGAGTAGAGATTCCAAAACTAGCACAGTTGTGAATAGCAACAGGCATTGCAGTTGTATTTCGTTTCAGAATTCCTCAAGAGTCTATCTATCATAAAGGTTCCACCTTTGGCCATCTATCCTGGACTTTCTCCTGTTTCCACTTCAATTTGTTTTCTCCAGGGACTGGTCAAAATATTCTTCCAATTCCACAACGTGCCTATCATGTAGATAATAAAGCCTACAAATTCGCCTGAGAGCTTAAGTGACTTAGAAGTCATCTGTGGTCTTATCTCTGTGCTTGGTTAGACTGAACAGAAGCAAAATCAGTAGCTGAGATCAAATTGAAATTTGACCTCAAAGCTTTTTTTTTTAATGTTATAGCATTTCTCATCGAGTGGCAGATTACATGTCAGAAACCCAAACCTTCTGGAACATGTATAATAGGAAAGAAAATATTAAAAGAAGAAAGACTCCATCAGTCATGGGAACCTTGGAGGAGAAGCTACAGGAAAGTCAAAGCTTAAAACAACTTTGCTTTTTGTGGATGAATGGCTCCATTGTTGGGAGCCTTTTCCTCTTGACAAAGGCTTGGAAACGAGGCAGGACTTTTGATGGATAATGTCCATATCAAATTAGCAGCAAAACTAGCTGCTAAAGACAGAGCTGTGATATCAAGTCTATACTGCGATGCTGAGTGGCAAAGTATGCAGACGATGAGAAAGAAAATTAGATGCAATTAGCCTGAAATGTGTGTTAGCTTTTTAAAGATGAGGGGGAAATATAAACAACTATACGATAGAGACTGCATAGAATCACCAAGCTCTCTTTTTCATCTCTGGACTCCCACAGACTACATTTCCCTGCAGTTTGATGAAGCCACGTGACTAAACTTTGGTTAATGAACGCCTTGTTGTACTTGTTACTCTGCGCCATAGAGTCAGAACTGACTCATAGTTTACCCTCCAGTGAGTTTTCAGGGGCTGTAAGAAGTTTGCAACAAAGGTATGTGATTCGAATCCAACAGCTGCTTGTCAGGACAAAGAAGAGCAATTGCTTCCCATGCGATTCACCACCTCTGAAAACCCACTAGGGGGTCACCTATGAATTGGTTCAGACTCAACTGTACACAGTAACAACAAATTACACAAAGGAGATTGTCCATTCTCCTCCTGTGGAGCAGTTGATGGATTCAAATCATGTACCTATGGGATTGCATCACAGCTTCTTACCACTAGGCTCCAAGGGCTCCCTACAGAAAGTATATGTTGCTTTCTTATGTACCATTGAATCTGAACTGATCCATAGCTCACCTTCCAATGAGTTTTCAGAGGCAGTTAATCACACTGAAGGAGATTGCCCATCTGTCTCCAGGAGCATCTAGTGGATTCAAATTGCATGCCTTAATGAATGTATATAGAAGTGACAGCTATTGTCACCAGAGTGGTTGCTGTTATTATGTGTCATCTAGTCAACTCTCATGCTTGGAAGGGTGGAGGGACAGCACAGGAGAGGAAGACCCTAGATGAGACAGATTGAAATAGTAACTGGGCAATAGGGGTTGGTGTGTCAGAATCAGCGAGACTGACTCCGGACAGGGCAGGCTTCAGAGCTGTTGTACATAGGGTCACTATGGATCACAGGCAACTTGATGGCACATAACAACAAAAACTGTTGACTATAACTCAGAATGACTCTATGAAAAAGGACTCTGAAACTTGCCTTATTCTGAGCCAACTTCATCATCCTTGACACCATTGCCACAGCCACCAGCTCAATCCATCTCATCCAGGGTCTTCCTCTCCTGCACTATCCCATTCCAGCCTTCCAAGCATGATTTTCTTCTCCAAGGACTAGTTTCTCTTGGTAACACACCCAAAGTATGAGAGATGGAGCAAGAAGCAATCTGGTTTCTCCGTCTCCATGACAGACCTGTCTGTTCTTTTGACAGTTCATCGTATGTTCAACACTCTTCTCCAGCACAACTCAAAGGCATTAATTCTTTCTCTGTCATCCTTAGTCACCATTCAACTCTTAGATGCAAAGCAAGTAATTGAGAAGGCCATGGCCTGGGTCAGACGCACATTAGTCTTAGCTATACTAAGACCCTAGGAGCACCTGAACTGGCATCATTGCTCTTTAGCTCTCTGGAGAGGTCCCTGACAGCAGACTTTCCCAAAAGAACACATCTTTGGATTTCCTGACGGATGCCAAGAGTGCTGATTGTGGACTGGAGCAAGATGAAATTGTTAACAGCCTCAACCTTTTCTCCATCTATCATGATTCCACAAATTCTTTGTGTGCCATTCCTCATCATCCTCTTTCCTCTATCTTCCAGTTAGACACAGAAGGATCTTAGAAAAGACTTCAAGGCTCGTAGAGACAACAAAACTCCACATGAAAGGCAAGACTGGTTACCTAACTGGAGCACTGAACCCTCCATGGGCCTCAGTGAATTATGACTTGAGAGAGGGGATAAAAGTGTGTATACGTATGTATGCGTGAGTGTGTATATGAGGGAGAGAGATAGTCCTAAGATCGGGGTTGCTTATTCCAACAATGAATGTACTATGATAGCTATAATTTATATAACATTTTAGATCATTTTTTGCTGGTATATGTATCAGAAATGTATGAATATAGTTCCCACAACATTTTAAGGAGGAGAATGTTAGTTTGTCTAGTAGTTGGAGCACATCAGAGACTGTGAGGTTGGAGCAGGATGGAGCAAGACTCAGTCTGTTGTTCACAGGGGGGCTGTGAGTTTTGGTCAACTCAGTGTCACCAAGCAACAGGTGGAGTTTAATATTACTTTTTAAGTATTACTTTTACATCATCTGACATTCTTTGGACATGTTGTAAGGAAGGACCAGTCCTTGGAGAGGGATTCATGCTTGGGAAGGTGGGGCGACAGCACAGAAGAGGAAGACCCTGGATGAGATGGATTGTTTCAGTGACTGGGGCGATGGGAATAGTTGTGTCAGAGACTGTGAGATTGGCACAAGATAGAGCAGGGTTTAGGACTGTTGTACATAGGGTTGCTATGCGTCCCAGGGGACTCGATGGCGCATAACAACAACAATATATAATCACATGACAATTTCTATTTTACATTGTTAAGGAAAAGAAAAAAGAGTCAAGAAAAAGAAAATACTATGAACAACAACAATAAAGACTTGAAAAAAGCATATGAAACATGAACAGAATTTGGGGTGAGACCTATGAGGGATATTTTTCACCTTCTCACTACTTTCTCACATGTTCCTGAAGTGAAAATAGTTTATAATTATAGTGGAAAACAACACACGTGAAATCACATTTTGAAGTCGTCATTGAATGAGCTCCCGTAATTCACACCTCCGTGGGACCCTGAAAGCTGGGGAAACAACCCAAGTATCTTAAGAGTTTCTCTCCTCAGATGTGCCAATTCCTCATCTAAGGTGAGTCATCAGACAATCAGGCTTCCCTCCTCAAAGCCAGAAAAGCTGTTTGCTCCCATGATCTCCTGTCCTTGCCAGGCATGAAGTAGGGAACACTGGGTCCGGGGCCCGGCCAGGACTCACTCACTTGTTGATACAGTCCTCCTTCTTGTCATAGGCGTGAATGATGCCCAAGCCTTGCATGGATGAGGTTATATGGGAAAACCAGGGCGAGCGGCTGATGTTCTCCACCTTCTTGAGCTCCTGGACTCCTCTGTGGAACACGCTGCAGGAGAGGTAAGGGGGGGCCAAGAGAGGCATCTCTGTGGGCGTGTACTCAACATTCAGATTCAAGTACTTCGTCAACCCAGAGTTTAAAGCAGAGATGTTTCTCAGATGCTCTGCCGGGGAAGGAGGAACAATCTCCTCCTGTACCAGTC